ATTCGGACAAAAAACCGAACCGCACCGAAACTTGTGCGGTTTTCCAAAAGTTTAACCGCACCGAAAACCGAATCTTAAAAAACCGAACCGAACCGCACCGAATACATCGGTCCGGTTCGGTTTTTCGGTTTCGGCTCGGTTTTGCTCACCCCTAGCGGGAACTGATTCGCCTTACTATCATAAATATAATCAATCTCAGCTCTTTCAGATCCCTCTGTTCTTACAGAATCCCCAGCTATTGACTCAGCTACGACAAGATCACATTAATTCTAATTTAATATTCATTCACTCACATAATTTTAATTATCTATCAATTCCAGTCGTTTTTCTTATACTTTTACATCAAATTAATTTTGATTATTTTATTTTAAATATTATTTTAATACAAACTCAAAATTCCACTCAAACCTAATTCAACCACTTTTTAATATTAACTATGATTAACCCAAAAAAATTAATCAAATTCATATTCAATCACTTAATAATTGATCAAATTTTCAATGTTAATATATTATATTTACTTTTTGTTGTGTATAAAATAAAAATAGAAAAAAAAAATGCATTTTTCTCATATTTTGCTTGTAAAAAGAACTATCCAAATGGCCCAAAATGCCAGGCTATTTGCACACAACACGTATCCAACACGCTTTTAGTGACATAATAATTTAATTTTATTTATTCTTTTTTTTTTTGGAATATTCTTTCACACACACCACAAATAAATAAATCAAAGAAACTCCTCCTATTATGTGCTCTATTAAGTCCTATCAAGGTACGTATAACTAGTAAAAATTATTTTAATCCCTTTAATTTTTTTCAACAATTATATTTTGTTCAACAACAAAAATATATATATATTGATATAATTTGTTGTAATTAAATTTCCTATATGTTATAATTTTTTGCTTATTTTTTTTTTTTTCTCTTCTTTTTTTCTCAGGTTTGTAAAAATGGGAGGTGAAGGTCCTTGTGATGAGCCATTAATGGAGGGTTTTTGCTGCCATTGTTTTGTGATTGTTTCAGTATTAAGGGTTACAAAGAGATGCTTGTTTGTTGCTTTCTACCCTTTTTTGCAGTGTTTTGGATTGGATGAGTGCAGGCATCATCATCATCACCACAACAAACATTTCTACTGATTTTTTTTTTTTTTTATATGATTATACATATTATTTAGGTGCATGGTTTTTGATCGCGGGCTATGGAAAATAGCGTCGGGCATTTCTGGCCGCTATTCGACGCTATAGCGCCGCTATGGCATAATAGCGTCAGGCTGTTTTTGCCGCTATTCGCGCTATTTGGCGCTATAGCGGCGCTATTTGGCGCTACCAAATAGCGCGAATAGCGGCAAAACAGCAATAGCTTGGCGTTAGCTGATCTGAGCCGCTATAGCGCGCTATTTAAAACTATGTTTAGGTGTGATTTTTTTTAGTTCAAATTCATTTTCATGTTACAATAATTATTGTTTTTATTTTTAATTTTAATTTTTTGTTGTTGATTGTTTGGTGATTCAGTGGACTCCTTTGATCTGTATTTTGAGTGGCAAAGGTCAAGAGAATAATACAAAGAGGTGGAGCTAGTTGCAACTAAATTAATTTCTGGTTAGCTTATAAGTTTCGAGTATTCAAAATTTCAAGTCAGTTTCATTCGGTGGATTTTTTTTAAAAGCTCGAACTTATTTTCATAAGTTTCTTTAAGTAGCTTTTCAAATAAGATCGTTGAAATTTTATATCTACTGGTTTATCATCTAATTTTACCAAACATTATTATCATATTAAGCTAGTTTTTCAGCTGTAAGTCATATCCTATAAGCTCAAAAATTATTTATAAACTATAAACTAGTTTATCAGAACTATCAATTAGCTTATCAACTAATTTTATCAAACACACCATTACAAGTTACAAGCTACAACAAGTGTTCAAATGTCTTCCATACAAGAAAATTAATCAAATCTAATGATTAATCAGCCATATATTTGTTTATATATATATATATATATGCATATTTTAAAATTTAAGTGACATAGAAAAATAATAAAAACTAAAATAAAACATATATAGATTTATATTTATCTTTTGATCATAATTTTATTAATTTAAACAAGTTTCACGAAACTCTTGGAAAAATTCAATCTCTGCCTCACATAGTTCAAAACAGTCATCACAAATTCACAGTAATCAAGCAGTATTTTCTTAGTCACTTTGCTTCCTCACAATGAAAATTAGAAATAACTTTTTGGCCCTTGGCTCTTCACAGTCAAGGGATATTACATTACATTCCTTCAGGATTCCAAAGCTTAAACAAAATTTGCGAGCAAGTTTTGAGATATTGAAAAAATTGCACGTTCACAACATTTGCTCGAGTATTCCGAGTCTTGTGGGCCCCACAAGAAACGTAAACTCGGGTCATCATTTGATGCTTGCATTGGGAAGAGAAGAAGTGCAAGGTCCCGAGGAAGTCATAAAAGGGACTTCTTTGAATGTGGCAACACCCTTATCATCGGTGAAAAGATTCTGAAAAAAAAAAACCCAAACGAACAAAGTTAAAACTAAAGCTCGTGGGAAAAAAAAATCACGACATTTATTCTGTAGCAACAATCAGGAAATCACAAATACTCTAGGGGAATTCATCGTGACTATTATCTTTAAGATGATTTTTTTTTAATGAACCTTGGCACAAGAAATGAATATATAAAAAGTGGCAATCAGTTAAGTATAGAGAGATTACATACCGGGGTTATTTTATCCAATTGCTTCTTTTTGGGGTTTAAAACCTCTTCTGGCTTACCATCATGTCTAGAGAAGGGGAAAAAAATGTCGGTTGATTAGATGAAGTTAATAGACGAAAAACATAGACAAAACGGGTCTCGATTAGACGCACAATTGTTTTTAATAACAGAGGACATTACCCAGAAAACGTAACACATTCCCCAACTTTAGCACCATCTGGAGCAAGTAGAGGCTCAACAATTGTATGGTCTTTATTCGAAGCACATAACACCTGTATTTCAATTATCAAGCCACCAAAGAAAAGTCAATGTTGGTTTCATGACAATTTCAAACCAACAAACTAATAGGTTTTTATTATGAACTATAGCATTAATTGAGTAGCTAAATAAAGAAACAAACATCAACACCACAAAGATTGTGAAAAAGAAAGTTACCAGTCCCTCTGACATCACGTCTCGTAACTTCCCAGGTTTCACGTTTGTTATGAGTACCACTCGGCGGTTCTGAGGAGCAATGTGAGACAGAAAAGTGAGGAAGGCCTCAACATTATTACATTATCACACAACAATAAACAGTTTTACTGTACAAATTATAATCCAATACAATTTAGTATTTTCCTACCGTTAGTTCTTCCGGAGTGCAAAACTTGGCTAGACCACTAACGACTTGCCTGCATTTTGCTTCTCCAACATCTATCTCCTCGACCAACAAACTGAATTGCCGGAATAAAAAAAAAAAAGGAAAAGGAATAATTAGCGTAGAACAGTTCAGCTATGTTGTAACTATTCTTGAACATAATAAAACGATACAGAATTACACAAAAATAAAAACAATGAAATAGGCGAAAACAACCATCAGAAGAATCAAAATGCTATAAAAATGTAGTGTTTAAAGACAGACAAATTGTTTTCCTTATGAACAGGAGTTTCATGAAGAAGACCAATGGCTTATAGATAGATACAGCTCGGAGAAAATCTTACAAGTAAAAACACAAAGTAATAAAAAATCAACTTCAGAAAAACAAATAGTGGACAGTCACTCACCTGTCGGCTGATGGATGTTTCCATGCTTTGCAAATATGACCAATCTGTATCTTAAGCAAACTAACGCTGAGTGCTTCTTCTTTGCTCTCCGCCACTTTTTCAGTACCTTTCTTCTTCTCTGCTGTAGATTGACTCTCTTCAACTTTCTTCTTTTGCTTTGTTTCAGAAAGAATCAGCAATGTAAAAGTTTAGTAGATTTTTTTATTAATTTGACAAGGGTAACTTGAATAAAAAGATGATTTATGTATAATATTTCTACCAAGAAACACACATTTGTGGAATTGAAGAGCTGGAAATGTGAAGTCTAATACGAATCAAGATATGGTTCAGATAATTCTAATAAAGTTGTAGGTATATCACCTCCGCCATCCCTTGTTTTAGTGTTATATTTTTCAATTTCTATATTTATCAACAATGGAGCAAAACTTACGGCATCAGCACTCTTCTTTCCTTTAGAGTCTGTTCCTGAAGTACCCGCCTCTTTTGCATTTTGGACAATTTTCTTTGCACTGGGATCTTCTACCTTCTTCACAGACTTCGATACCTGGAAAAATCAACCCACAAGTAACAATCTAAGATTACATTTGTTTTCAACACATACTTGTCCATAGCCACAACATATCAGTATAGAAAACAAAAGCAACCAAAAATGCTTCCATCGTAATATTATACGAGCCATTTTATGCTAGACCCCTCAGTAACTGCCTGCAAACTTGAATAATACCATATCTCATGTTTGTGTCCTAAACAAGTAAGTATTCAACTATGAATATCACAATTTGAGACTACAAGGAAATTAGCACCCGTGGCTATCCCTCTAGGGAAACAACACAAACACAAGAATCAAGTTAAGTGCAGATATAGATGAATTACTTACTGGAGGGACAAATTGAGCCTTCTCATGCACAATCTTCTCAAAAATTTCTCCAAAATCCTCCTTGTTCTGCACTTGTAACAAAGAAAGGTTCGTTAGCACATATATGCAAGAATGCATAATATAGTGCAGAAAAACCCTTAAAATGGTAGTCAAACTGGAACCATATCTATTGAACACCATACAGTAGCTATGTGCTACTAAAAAGTAAATAAAAGAAAAGAAGATAAAGGGCAAGAAAAGAAAATGAAAAGCAATAGTATCCAAGGAATGTGAAATCAATTAAGCCCCAAAACCTGAAGGTAAAACATTTACTCAGGCGTACAGTTTTCAAACACCATTACTTAGGTCGTCATACAGTTTTCAAACACCATTACTTAGGTTGTCATCCAACTATTAAATTGAATCTCAGCAAGTCACCCGCAACTAAACCATTATGCAAAACTTTTTTTTTTTTTTTTTCATTTGGTAGAAGACAATAATGAGGAGAGAATATTTTCAAGAGTTCCACCTGAAGTGGAACTAGTGCGTATAAAAAGAAAACGCACAATGATAGAAAATAAGAAATCTACGTTCGCAAAACATACTCTTCTTACCTGGACGTAATCGGCCCATCTGGACAAATGTGGCAATTTGCCTTTATCCGTACTTGAAAGGCCAATCTGAAAGCAAACAATAATGGTAAAATAGTTAAAAGCATTACACCAAATGAAAACGCACAAACATTTTCCTCAAACAACCAAGTAACTAATTAACCATCATTTAGCCCACCAGGTAAATGTATGGTAGTTCTCAAGCAACTTTTCACATCCCTGCTCAGTAGTTAATAATGTGATGTAATGCAATCTACTAATTACTAACACATCTCTCAAATGCTACGTACAAACAGAGCCACTCCAACATCATCCTATACGTACAATTATCCATATTTGCACTATCAACCAGAATAATAACAATAATCATAACCAAAAGAAAAAAAGAAAAACAGCATACCATGTATGGATGCACTGCCGAAAAAACAATAACGTCGGCAGGAGATACCGTCAACCCATTGCCCATCATAACGGATTTGGTAACCAACTCCTCATTCAAATCTTCAAGAGCCTTACTCCTTGCTTCGGGATTCGCCAAAAAACTGTCGGCAAACTCGATCCATTTCGTCAGCTGCCACCCCAAAAATGTTCATACATCAAAACCCACATTCCCAATCCAACATTAACCTCGAACACCATCAAGTCACCCACAGAAACTAAGTTATACAGCAATGACTGCATATACTACCTTAGTAGCGTCCCCATTCGTCAAAATGCTTGCGCACAGGCTCTTAAAGTCGCTGCTCGAGTCACTGGCGTATGGCTTCTGCGTGAACGAGTTCGAAAAAGGTATGATTTCCCAAAACCCTCCATTTTTTTTCCCGAAATTGATTAATTTCTATGAATCAAGAAAGAGTAAAACCAGAGAGCTTACCGGGTCGATAGAGAGGTGATTACAGAGAGCGGATACGAGATTTTGCTTAGCGGAATCCATTGCAATCAAAGCTGACAAGCTTCAATCGACTGCCAATTGCCCGTAAGCACAGAACTTTCGAAGATGATCGATTCAACGTTCAAGCTTTCACTGTTCCAATTCAGACACAAGAAATGTGCTAATTAGGGTTTTCTGATTTTTTTTTATTTTTTTTTTTCGTCTTCTTAGTGGGCCAGTCAGTCCACGAACGAACAGCCCAAGTGTGCTGAACAGAGATTTTCGCGCCATATTCAATAATTTGGTAACTTTTGTAGCAAATTATTCATCCTAGTGTTATCAAATTGATGCGAGGATTTGTCGAATTAAATTCCTTAATTAATTAATTTATTTGGTCATAAAACTTATTTGATTATTTTCTTTTTCTCATACTTTTAAGAAAAAAAAAATACATATTTGTACTGAAAAAATATCATACTTTTGATATTATTGTTGAGTTAATTGCATTTAAAATCTTAACTTTTTGTCTAATTACAAATAAAACTCAACTTTTTTTTTTTAATTTGGCAAAAAAATACCAAACCTTTAATAAGTATTGCAATTGTGTCTCACCCTCGGACCGCCGCCAACTGCCACCCGCCAACTTCGCCGGATGTTGCAAATTTTTACATGATCTTGTAGCTCTTCTCCGTGTCGACAACATATCCGAGTTTCACGAAAAAATTCCGACGATAAGGCTTCCACTTTTCCAGTCAAGTAGATCTTCAATTTTTTTTCCGGCGTTCTTTCGCACATTCCCGGTGACTCGCTTTAACCCATGTGAATCCAAAGGTACCGTTGAACTCTTCTCGCAAAGCCGCATCTAGTGACGTCCACCTTCGCCGGAACCGGTGAATTTTTCCGACAACAACTTTTCCGGTCATCTTATTCAAGGTTTGGAATTGTCGGAACTGATTTTCAGACACAATTGCAATACATATTAAAGGTTTGGTATTTATTTGCCAAATTGAAAAAATTGAGTTTTATTTGTAATTACACAAAATGTTAGGATTTTAAATGCAATTAACCCAATATTGTTTCTTAAAGTACGTTGAGTTTTATGAATATTGGTTATGCGACAATAACTGGCGTCGAACTATGGGGATTATTCAAAACTTTGTCCCTTGCTTGGGATAGGGGATTTCGGAAAGTGATCACTTCCGTTGATAGCCAATGTGTAGTACATATGATGGAGGGACACCATGAAGGTGTGGGAGCCAATGGAAGTTTGGTACGTGGGATTCGAGATCTCATTGATAGAGAATGGGAGGTCCAACTTCGCCATGACTGGCGAGAATCAAATTTTACAGCGGACTCGCTTGCCTCCCTGGCTACACGCAGCCCTGGCGGGCTTCATGTGATACAGAACCTCTCGGGAGAAGTTAAACCGTGGCTAGAACACGATTGTCTTGGTGTTTCTCACCCACGGAACGTAGTCGTTTATTTTTCTATGCTTTGCCTCCTTTTTTGTACCCAAAAAAAAAAAGAAAATATAAATATCTGCTAAAAATGTATGACTATCTAATTTATTAAGAATTTGGAAACTTGAACATAAATTTGGGTTCATTTGAAAAAAAAAAACCAAAAAAAAAAAAAAAAAAAAAAAA